ACTGTGCTCCCACAGTTCGCTCCGTGTTGCTGGAAGCAAAAAGGGGGATGGTCATCAAACTATGAGTGCGATTGGGGTTCTTTTTTGAAAAGTGGATATGTGAAACAGAGTGAAACCAAAGCAGGGGACTTACATGGCTATGAGGCTATGAGATACTCCCCAATAGCGACAGCTTGGGGTTGTTAACTTTAAAGGCGGACGGGCACCATCGGGTTCACGGCTGGCCCGTGTCCCAGTGGTGTGTCAGTGGCATCTTGGTGGTGTCCCGGTTGTGTCTTGGTGGTGCCTAGATGGTGTCTCGGTCGTGCCTTGGCGGTCCTGCCTTGGTTGTGTGACTTCGTGTACTGTTAAGTGGTGTTTCTGTGTTGTCTTGATGGTGCTTTTGTGGAGTTTGGTTGTGTCTCGGTGATGTCTTAGTGGTGCCTCGATGACAATCAAGATTGGCAATCCTTGGCAATCTTGGTGTCTCCGTTGTGTCTTGGTGGTGCCTAGGTGGTGTCTCGGTTGTCTCTTGGCAGTGTCTAGGCGGTGTCTCTCGGTGGTGGTGTCTTGGTGGTGTGTCGGTGATGTCTTGGTAGTCTCGGTGGCATCTGGAAGGTATCTGCATGGCTTTGTGCTCTTTGAGCTCTTTTGATGATGTTTCGGTGGTGCCTTCATGGTGTCCAAGTAGTGTCTGGGTGGTGCCTTGGCAGTGTCTCAGCAGTTTCCGTGCTGATAAAAGGTGTTCACCTCTTAGTCGTATCTTGGTGGCGCTGTGCAATTGGTCCCATTGGTTGGTTGTGTTTCGGTGGCGTTTCCCTGCATGTCACTCAAATATTGAGGGTGTTTTCTTGGTTGGTGACACCATGCACCAAGTAGTTGGACCACGGCGCATAATTCGCCGTGGTAAAATAGGCATTTTTTCCCCACATTGACGTGTGGGGTTTTTGTTTTTAGTTCTGTATCCGCTCCTCTTCCTCCTCCTCCCGCCGCCTCGCCTCCCGCCTCACTCACTCACTCACTCATCACTCATCACTCACTCACTCACTCACTCACTCACTCACTCA